CTCCATGAGCAAGGCTAAATGAGGCCATAAACACTTTACTGCCAGCATTCCGCTAGCATCCAATTTGTAATAGCATACTGTGTTTGGGAGATGAAGTCCTGTGATGAATTACAGCAGGTTATGTTATTTTGTTCCTCGCCAAGGAGGTTATGATCTGTTGGTCTGTTTGTGTGTTCATTAGCAGGACATCAGGAGAAAACATGAAAGATTCTTAATAAATATTCAATTTAATAGATTTAAGGAAGCACTGGTAGCATCTGGTGTGGATAGCATAGCATGAACCTACATGTGTATTGGGCTATTGGGGTCGTATGAGCTTTTTGCTCTTAATTCCTGAATTGCAACTCATAAAAGCAAAATATATATTTCAGTCTTTGGTCCAACATGCATCAACCGTATTTACCACACTTACTCCCACTCAACTAGGTTTTCCATGAGTTAGATTTGTTTATTCCTACTGTCCAATGCAATAGCATTGTTTTTTCAACTGGTTGCAAAATTGCAAATTGCAACGTTTAATGACAGATGGCGCTACGGCAACATTAAAGCTAAATGGTTAAAGTTAGTGCTCATTAGTTTGACTCACTTGGATTTTTGCACAATTGATCATTGTACAAACATCCCATGATTAGGTATTGTTCAACAATACAAAGACATAGTATATGTCTATGGACCATGGTGTGCTTTTTAAAATGGATATGAAACAAGTCAATAAAGTAATAAAATATAATCTACATAAACCAGGTCTGGAAAAGACTCGATATGGTATGACTCAATAACAATGAGGTTTAAAGACCCAGTGGAATTAAAAAATACATTTCCCAGTTGTAATCCCGTTTCCTGTGTTGATTGTTAGTTATTTTGTCATAAGCCAAATATATATTAAAAAAAAAAATCAGCATCAGAAGATTTTTAAAACAAAGCCCTGTCTACTCTTTGTTTGATGACTCATCCAACACAGGGGCGTTTCACAACAAATCATCCCATTTGTCGATTGTAGCTAACAGAGCAAAATGGAGACAGGAGGAAATATGTGTTGTAATATGTATATATATCAGTAGGCAAAACTTCTTCATTTTTGATTTCCATTTCAAACTCTAAACTCGTCCACATTTTAGCTGTCCAATTAAATGCGAAGGATCTAATTTAAATCCCTCTTGTAACTGTAGACAACTCAAATGTTCAGTTTCACTGTGAGATATGTCACAGTGCAGCAGATGAATACGCTGTGACTTAAGAAAACCTTAGACCTTGGCCGTCATTTGCAGTAAAGACAATGTAACAAGTATAAATGTAGCCTATGACCGACAAAACCTTTAAGAAACGTTCAGTGCTCAACAGAAAGCGTTGGACCTCAGAGGCCATGAAGTGCACTGAACACTTAACGTTTTGTGCTAATCAGTCAATGGCATTTCATGTGAAATATACAGTATACTACAACGTTAAGTACAGTTCGAAAAAAACAATTTAACAATGTGTGTAATCGGATTACTTGATTATTAGATCAAACGGGGAACTCGCCACTGCCTGAACCAAAAGGACTACTTGGGAAATCTGGAAGGCTATGCCGAAACAACAGCAGGCTGCAGGCTTGGTGCCAGATTGCCATGGCATCCCTCTTATCAACCCCCCGACTCAACCCCGCCCCTCACTCCCACCGCCCACCACCGCTGTTGCCCCCTTTCCTGCCTCCTAAGCTGAATGACAGGTGGCAGAAACCCGATCAGCGCGGGCCTTCATCAAGGAAGCACTCCCATCTCAAACGGGCACGCTGCCCGCTCGCCCACCCGAAGGCCACACAGCACAGGGGCTTCTGAGGCTGGACAGAGTGTGTGTGTGTGTGTGTGTGTGTGTGTGTGTGTGTGTGTGTGTGTGTGTGTGTGTGTGTGTGTGTGTATATAACTGAGGCAGGGGATGGGGGAGCTGGGCTACAATGGCCACAGAGGCCTGGGAGGGAGAGAGGGGTAAGGGCTATAATAGAGTTTTTGGCTGAAGAACCAAGTGGCGGAGCTGGCAGCGGGTGTACAGGGCTCAAACGGGAAACGGGAGGCTGGCTCTTACAATAGCCAGCATGAGAGTCCCAGAGGGTCGTCCACAATAGCGGGGCAAGCGGCTGTTGTCAACAATGACCTCCAAGGCCCCACTGCTTGGACTGAGATTGTCCCACCCTTCAGCACTTCCCTTTTAGCGCTGCCATACTGTTAATGCAGGGATTATTATTAGGGACATGAATCTGGAACCTGTGTGTGTTTTGTGAGTGAAGTCCTGTCACTTGGATTTGCTTGTAAGCTTTGGCTACTGTGCTACAATATATAGGTTTTGATGGAAACAATGCATTTCCAGCAGTTTCTCGAGTTCAAGCTGTAACAAAAGATCCTTAACCCATGTAAAGGACCATCAATCATCAAAACAGACAACGAGACATTACAAAGAACTTTACCACTAGTAGACATACTCATCAGCACCTCATCTCAGATTTGAAAACCTATTGGCAATCACAAGTGCAGCGGAGCATCTTGGCGCGAAATTGGAAATCCAGGGAGTAACACAGGCCTGTCCTTGTGCAACCCACTGCCCCTGTTCTTCATGAAAAAGTTTATTTGTCTAAAATAGCTCTACAAGCAATCACCCCATGGGCTGAAGTGATTGTGAGTAGAATTGAGGGGGGCCATGTAGGGGGGGGGTCTCCAACCAGGAGGAGATTTAATTAGTGAAATCTCATTAAGTCTAACAAAATTAAGCGTAAAACAATCCTTGGTGGGGAGTCTTGCTGGAGGTTTTTGGGTGGGGAGAGGGAGGGCAGCAACGGGGAACACTTAGGGGCCGAGAGGACATGGAGACTAACTGTGCGATTAGTCTGGCCTGTATGTAGGAAGAGACAAATGGCTCAGTATAACCAGACCTCCTCTGGCATTCGACGAGAGACTTCCATGTGTGCACAGATCCCCCTTTTGTCCTAGCTCTTATTCTGTCCATGGCCCCTTCACAATAGAAGGACATTTACAGAATTTGACTGCAAAGACTAAATTAGGATTTAGAAGAATTTGACAAAAACAACACTTCATAATAAGGGGTTGATGTTACAAGAGTAGGATAATGACAGAGGATAGCAAGTCTGAACCCTAGAGCTAGCAGGGGAAATGCTGCTGTTGTGCAACAACCTTCACAAGATCATCAATGGACGCTTTGGTAAAACTTTGGATTAGGTCCAAGGTCCAATGCCTTTTTACAATATCTGCACATGGCTATCATTGGGAAAGACTGTTTTTATGGCATATAAACTGAGGTTAGGCAACTAAAAGACTTGGTGGAGCTGTGGGAAGGATCATAGTTCCACTAGATCTGTGATGAGATGCAAGCTCCATTCTCCTGCATGAAAGTCAAGCGCACCACACACCCATCCACCGACCTGACCTCTAAATTGGTGCTATCCGCTTTGCTACATCAGTGCTTCATATGAATGTCGGATGAAAACTGCGAGTTACCGAATCATCCAATGTTGATCCTATATTCCAATACGTATATATTCCTAGAGATGTAACTGTGTCAAAATGAAACATGTAACACCCATCCCTCAACAGTGTGACTGTCAATACTCCCTTCAGAAAACGTGTTGGATCCAGGGTTTAAGACTGGTGTTACAGCTGCAGATACTGATCCAAATGATGACAACCCTACCCAAACAACAAGACCCAATTTGAAATGGACCAGAGAGTGGTCAGACCCGACCTAATGACAGTTAGACCCAATTCAAAATGCAGTTCACCCAAAAAGATCAATATAGAGAAAGAACAAGAAACATAATCACCACACACAACACATTTCTCCTGCAGGGATTATGATGCACACATGGAGGCACGTCTGCTCCAAATCGTCCAGGTGTAACAGACATACTGACACAGTAGACATGCAGACCCTAGACCTGGTTAGACTGAAGAGAATTTGGACCTGGACCGATTCGGGTTCCAGGTTGAGTCTCAAATACTAGGAACTCTCCAAATCAAAAATGCTTCTAGACAGTGATTTCCACCTCATTTCTAATATCATTGTCTCTGGAAGGACTGGAGTGAAGGTGGAGGTGGACAACAACAACAACCAACAACAGGACAATTCTGACAAGCCATTCCTTGTGCATGATCTATTCTAAGCCTTCTAATAACATATGTCAAAACTACATTAGTATTAATAACTGGTTGTGATAGTCCTGTCTCATGATCTGTTTTTGCTTGATTCTAAATAGAGCGTGTGTTGTGACAGCATTGTTAGCTGCTGCATTAACTAAAGTCATCACAGCATGCTACACACTGCTAGTTATCAGAGCTACTGCAACATGAACACTTCATTATCTTGTCTGAGAAATAATGTTAGAGCTCAGACAACTTTCTGTTGATAGCAATAGTTCCTAATTGGAAACAATGGAAGCCATCAGAAACAAATGGTCGTCATTGTTTATCTGAGCTTATTTGCATTTACTTTTGGTTGCCATTGTCTCACTTTTTCTTGTCAAGACCAAAAACAAGCAGACACGTTCACTGCCTGGGGTCACATGGTCTCATGGACTTGTTCAGGAATATAACATTTGTGGAAAACATGATAAAACTTTTACTATGTACAGTGTAAGTTGAGGAACAGCATTACAATTTGAATGTCGGACATAAAAATTAAATCACCCAAATTCCCATTTGGTCAAATTCATATTCATCCTACTGTAAGTAAATAGTGCGTTTGTTAGAGAGTGAATCATCAATCACTAAAAATGCACAGTTATAGAAGTTCCAGCAAGATACCAGCACAAAAAAATCTAAAATTGAATTTAGAGGCTAAAGAAATGTCAAGAAAATGTGCTCAAGTGATTGAACTGATCTTCAGGTTTCTACCAGCTTGTAAGTGAATTTCTGTTATGAAACACATTGCACACAGCTTTGTCAATGACACTTAAACATATACAAGCATACATCTGGTTTATCATAAGGTTTATAGGACGGCAACTGCCAACTTACAGTTGGCTTGCCCACAGCAATGCAGCAGCTTTCAGTGTTGCTCTCTGCTCCGCGGCCCTCTATCCAACTCTCCACACAGAGCCTGTAGACAGATGACAACGTTTAAGCTATACAACTTAATAAGGTCAGCATTATTACTGAAAAGGACATTAAAAATGGTGGCATGCAGACGGTAAGTGGAAAAACTGTAAAAGATGTCCATGCAAGCAGGGATGCAGTATGTGTTGAACTCCACTACTTTACTGGTGGGATAGAACGTCATTATCTTCACCTGATAGAACGCACTGATGGACTCTGAAGCATCAGTATCGGTGCGGACACAGTGCCAGAGGTTAATGAATCAGTCTGCTTCACATGCCACAACTGATATGTTTGGAGGATAAAGCTGGTGTTAAACTGATGGATACTTTATGACTTTCCCTAGCATGTCTGTGGCTCTCGACCCCAGCCCACTGGGGCCCACACAAATGTATATTAGTATATTCTTTTCTTTTTTTTATTAATCTTTAATTTTCTAAAACTGCTGGGCTCTGTAGTTTTTAGCAAACGCTACTCAAACAGGAGGAAATAGTGCATTTGTGGGGGACTATTTTCAGCGGCAGATTAATCCACACATGGCGCTCTAGTGAGTATTTGTGGCAGCAGGACGGCGTATGTGAGATTGAGTCAAAATAATAGAAGATTTATTTACTGCTGGTTCTGGTCTCTTCATGGGGTTTGTTGGCGATAACAACATATATGGAATACACCAGCCTTTTCCTTTAATAAAGGAAACATCCTGAAAAGCGGACACTAAATGTTAATCATGAAGCTAAAACTGGTAGAATTGATTGTTTACCATTCACACATTATTCCAGTAGTGGTATGTTCTTCAGTTGAGACTGACAGGAAACAAGCGGATAACATGCGAGACCCTTGTTGCACTAAAACCAGGGATGCCATGGCAACACAGTATGCGTTTGAGACCAAAGCCACATAAATCACTTTTGACAAAGCAAATCTTTCAAACGCTTCTCAAGGTCTTCCTCAGAAGAAGCTCAGAAAAAAAAGCACAATTTAATATTTTTCCGACATTTCCGAAATTACTATTTCCAAGGTCAAGAATACATTTTTACACATCCACCCGCCCATCCATCCATCATCCATCCATCATGCATCCATCATCCATCTATTATTATTATTATAAATAAAATACTCATTGCATTGTCATACTCTGGTTGAAAGTTGAATTTATTAAGCAGCTCTCTCTTCAATAACTTAATCTGGACTCTTATTGCTTGAGTACTGGAGGGTTTGTAGTACACATTTTAATACCATGGTACTTGTATACAGAAATAGGTGAATTGTATGGCATCAATATATAAATGTGTGCTTTATTGGTTTGTATTAGGTTGTTATTGCCTTATAGTAACTTGGTTTACAGTCAATTCATCATTTAATGCAACTCCCCATCAGTACAAACAAAATGCATCTGATTATCATTTTCAACGATTTGGTGAAAACAGAGAGGTCAGACAGCGTCTGTGACTCAGATTCCTTTAAGCAGACTGGCTGGCCATGTCTGAGTCACACGGAGTGTAGCACAGCAGAGAGAGTTATGGTGCACATGCAAAAGATTTAAGTTCAATCAAGCATTCAGGGCTGGACACCTGATCTTTCGCTTAAAGCCCCTCCAGAACAGTGGGAGTGTGGCCGGGCCTCACAGCAGGCCGCCTACCTCCAGCAATCTGCTAACACAGAGCCTCTGAAGGGATGGTATTTACCCGGTCCCGCAGAGCTCAGTGGGGACTACTGTGTGTGTGGTAGGTAGGTAGGTACTACCAGAGGCTAGTGGAGGGGGGGGGACTGGAATGAAAGCTGTGGAGAAACATTTGTCTTTTTTTAGAGTTTTATCCATCTCTCTAAAGGCGGGGCAAGTGAAAAAACAATAAAAAAATTAATATTCTATCCCACTGTCATGCAAATTTTAAGAAAAGTCAATTAGGAGTGTTTACATCATTTGAGACGAGGCAAATAAGGTGGTTCATTGAACATAGAATGGATAAACATCCAAAGGTTTTATGAGGAAATTGCAGAACCATTTTCTGAAGATTGTTTTCAAGAATTAGTGTTGTACAAGTTTTCATTTTTTAAGCTCTCAAGTGAAAACAAAAAGCAGGATTGTGGCAGCTGGTGCTCTATTACATAGTAGTACACTTATTCACAAAAGCTACTACACATATAAAATATATTTAATGTTGTTTTGGAAACAGACTCGGTTGACATTTTCTTTCCAATCCCATATAGTCCATCCAATTCCTCCCAACCTAATTCAAATACACGCTCTTTATTTGGAGGGAAATCCAGCTATTGGTTGGACCTGGCTTTATTTCCACGATGCTACAATAAAAGATGTGGAGTTTTGAAACTTTGACAGAAAATAGGGCATGCCTACGACAGTAAAGACACGCACAAAGCCCGAGAAGAGGAGAAAGTCTTAAGGATGTAGCTTGAGTTTCACTTCCAAACAGCCCCCCTCAGACCATGGGAGATTTGGGTGAGGGCATTTCTTAGGTTTCTTACGGCCACAAAGAAAACATTTTAGCCTTTCAGTAATCCTTTCCGAAGCCCTCCCTAAGCTCCAAGGGCCCTTCCTCCCTCGGTCATCCCTTACGGTCTGGTATCCTGGAGGAGCGTCTCTGTATACTGAAGCCTGCCACACACACCATTCGCCATCCCTCGCATGACCCCTCTGGGACCCAGCTGACCTTCCTGTTGACGTCAAAGCAAACCAGAGCGGGAGCCGGTGCAGCGAGGGGCTCCACCCAGGGGGCTGGAGGTATAATCACGGTGTTCCTCACAAAAGCCGCAGAGGAAACATTAGCATTCCTGAATCTGCCCCCCATCACTCACACTGCAGCCTCTACGTGTGTTCACAGTTACACATGTACTGTCAGTCAGTATATTGTATTTTACGTTCTTACTATTTCTGCTATTCTATACTTCTACTCCACTAAATATCAATGGTTGTACTTTGTACCCCCCTACATAGATCTGACAGCTACTTTGCAGATTCAGATTTTAAATGCAAAATAAGCTTCTCAAGGATTGTTGTAGACAATTGTAGAAAATGCAATCTTGAACTTTATAGCCCCAAAAGAGGAAGTTGTTTTTGCAGCATAAAAAGAAACAGAAACATACTACAATATGACAACTGAAGACATTAACAGTGCTGGTACTATCACTCCAATAAAGAGCTCAATAAAAGGTTCATGAGGACCTTTGCTATTGGTCGCCACAGGCAGAGCTCCTCACAGTCTATAGAGGAGATCTGATTCGTAGAGCTTAAACATTCATGCATTTAGTCGATTAGTCGATGAACAGAACATTTTACAGCAACTGCTTAGTTGCCTGCATTTCTCGGTTTTGTATAATTGAAATGAAATCTCTTTGGGTATGTCACCTTGGGCTCTGAGGAAAGCTGATGATCACGTTTAACACATTTCTTTCTCCCTTTCTTTAATTTATATGTTAGGTTAACTACTGTGGCCGACGCAAAAGCGCAAATGTCCCGATGTAGAGCCAGTGTTTGGTTTGTCTGTTCTGGGCTACTGTAGAAACATGGCCGGCTCTGTGAAGAGGACCTGCTCCGTATGTAGATATAAAAGGCTCATTCTAAAGTATCTAAAACACAACCATTCTTATTTTCAGGTGATTATAAACTAAAGAAAACATGCTTATTAATATTATATTCCAATATATCTTAATGTTCATGCCAATATATCCCCATAAATGCTAGATACCGGACCTTTAAGTAAGGAATCTGGGTACTTCTTCCACAATATATGAATCCTGATACACACATCCAAAGTCAATGAATTCTGCATTAAATCAAACGTTACATGTTAAATGTTACGTTACAGCATTGTTATGAATTGGACTATTGTGCACAAGTTGTGCTTCTTGTGAAATGGTTGTCTTATTGCTGCATTGTGTACAACATTTGCTCATATCAATAATGGGACGTGCTCCGATGCATCAGGGAAGCCCTAGGAGGGAATCTATTCTCATTTGACTCATTTGATTTCACCGCTCGCGTTTGTGGCAAAGCAGGTTTGGAGAAGACACAGACATGATTAAATATTCACTACTTCCTGCTAAACTTCCACTCTGATCATATGGAGGCTCAGTGCAGCGGAGAGAAAACTCCAGATGGACATCTTTAAGATTCCCAAATCCTCCTCTTTTCACGCTAGCAGGAGCTTTGGGGTCAAGGTGTGAAGGGAGGACCAAAAGACCCGTTTCCCACAATCCCTCTGCAGCTATAGCCCCCCAGCTGTTCAAGGGCTTCCATAACAACAGCTGCGCAGAGGTTTAGTGGTTCATGTTGCTATGACAACAGCAGGATCAATTGGCATGCACAGACTCAGGGCTAATAGCAAAAGTGACATTATACCATCATTTCATCTCAATAAAACACAGGCAGGTTTTTTACTGCACTGAGATTCGGGGGGGCATAAAAAAAGTAAAAGAGGCAAATAATTAATTTTGCTTGATAACGCCTGTGGCTTGTGCGCCCAGAACTCGCAGGAATCTCCCACGCTTAATGGCAACCAACCCAGCAACCTCACACTTCAAATTCATTCCCTGGCATTGAAGATACAGAGTGTGATTGTTTCCAAGCTCATACAATAGAAGCTAAATAAATCCTGATGCCCGGCAGCTGTATGCGCCACAGATCACTGACCGGCAGGATGTGCGACAATCAGACTTCTGTTCTCCTGACAAACAGGATATCTGGTCACCGGACCACCTTCACAGTCAGACAGTATGAGGTGGCGGGGGCGGGGGGGTTTACACTATTGTACCGGACCACGATGAACCAACCTCAGCTATGCTTCAGGTTTACATGCAGGACAAAAGAATCTCAGGCTCAGGAGACGTGTCACAAGCAGAACCCTCAAACGCGGTGGAAGTGACAAAGCTCGGGGTTCTTGCAGCTTTTATCCGGCCAGCTGAACTTAAACCGTTTGAGGCTAATTCCGGGGAATTATGAGGGGCTCACAATGACAATAGCAGGTATTCCCACAGGAGTAACCAGAGCTGGAGCGGCGTCAGCACGGGTTTAAGCCTAACATTTAACGAGCATGCAGCTGATACAGACAGCTGAACCAGACACAAACACTCACATTTAGTCTACACTAACATGAGCACTCTATCCAGCTGCAACACATCTCACTTCCAGCTTGACAAAAGGCTCTAACTTTGTGTCTTTCCCTTTAATCAACTCTTGGCTGATATTTGACATTGATCATACCTCCCTGTCTCACAGAATATGATAGCCCCTTGTGAACAGTGGGGGGAAAAGCCAAACAGGAATCCACTGCTAAAAATACCCACGTCGTGATGAGTCAGGATGGATAGGCAAACAAAAAAGAGGCCAGTCTAATTTCCTCCAGTCTGGGCTTTGGAGTTCCAATCCTCAGTGCCACCAGTGGATTCTTCTATTTATTGAATCGAGCTGCGTCAAGAAGAGAGAAAATAAATGTCTGCAGAGTAGTGGGATAAAGAGAGATTATCCAAATGGAGGCTAATGATGTGCAAAAAGAATCACAGAGTTAAAGAGAACAAAGGTGCAGCCAGGAACATAAAAAGTGTTTGTACTGAGGTGTTTGGGGGTATTTAGTCACACTGTGTTGCTCATACTGACAAAGACTAGTCGGCCACATTATAAATGTACAGTTACAGTGTAAATGTTCACTATATGCTACTTCACACAACATACAAAAATGTAACTAGTTTTAGTGTAAAAGGAAATAAAAAGATATATTTTCTTTTTTTAATCTTAAAATACTTAAAATTGCAGAATATAAAACATAAATAATAGCTTTTAGCTTTTATTTTCCTTAACTCCAATCATCAGATACAATCAATTAAAATGTATTCTATTTAACTTGTTAGCTCGCTAACTTAGCTTATGTTAGCTTGTTGGCTAAAATTACTAGCTACTATTAAGCTACTATTACTTTATATTATCTAATCATAAATATACTGAATATATATGCAGTATATGTATAATTAGATATGATAGTGAAAGCTGTATATTCTAATA